ATGCATGTATGCATGAATGCATACTTGCTGTATGCATGTATGCATGTATGCATGTATGCAAGCATGTATATATGTATGTATGTATGTATGTATGTATGTATGTATGTATGTATGTATGTATGTATGTACATGTAAATGGTATACCAACCCTAAAGCTTAAACCCGAAGCCCTAAACCCTCAACCCTAAAACCCCTAAACCCCTAACCGCAAAGGCCCCAAACCCCTAAACCCCTAAACCCCTAAACCCCTAAACCCCTAAACCCTAAGCTTGCAGGTTTGCCTTGGCGGGCACTCTCTCCGGCGGCCAAAAGCGCCGGCTCTCGGCCGCGGCGGCTCGGCCAAAGCCCAGACGTGATGGGGGTTTTAGGGGTTTAGGGGTTTAGGGGTTTGGGGTTTGGGGTTTGGGGTTAGGGTTTAGGGTTTAGGGTTTAGGGGTTTAGGGGTTTAGGGGTTTTAGGGGTTTTAGTGGTTGTAGGGGTTTAGGGGTTTTAGGTGTTAGGGGTTTAGGGGTTTTAGGGGTTTTAGGGGTTTAGGGGTTTTAGGTGTTAGGGGTTTAGGGGTTTAGGGGTTAGGGGTTTAGGGGTTTAGGGGTTTAGGGGTTTAGGGATTAGGGTGTGTCTATTAAACATCCGCGTTAGGTGTGTAATTTTTCGTGCAACGGAGCCATGGCGACGTACGTCCGATATATTCAGAGCAAGAGAATTCCGTCACGAATGTGGAGCTCTAATCTCCCACCCCGAGAGGCCAAGAGGCCACCCAACAATTTTGTAAAAAGCTTTAGTCTTTAGGCGTCCCCCAAAACACAGAAAATTTAAAGCAGTCACACAGAGAGAACGGCACTGTTTTTCCATGTTTTGATCCGGGCTCAAACGTGTTGGGTTCAGGGTGGGAAGTAACTATATATAGTTATCGACAGTTCTGTGAATTTATGAAGTTATTAAGGAATACTTGTACACAGACATGCACTTACGTGTAAACGGCTGTAAAATATGTACCATAATTACCATTTACTTTTAGGTAAGACTAGAATGTGATGTGTTTGCATTCCGCAGAAGGTGTGTTACGCTCTTAAACGTGTGAAGGCTCAAGCCTTAAGCAGAGCATCCAGGCTTAAGCTTTTGAGTTTAGGCTTGAGGGTTTAGGGGGTAAGGGGTTTCGGGTTTCGGGGTTAGGGTCTAGGGTCTAAGTTTAGGAGCTAGGGTTCAGGGTTTGGGGTCGTGAAGATGTTGAAGCCCCTTAGTATCGCGGGCTTGAATAACAACACGGTCTTGTAGAGGGTGAAGCTTAGGGATTTGGGCTTCCGTTTTGGTGCTGACTTCGTTGGCCTCTCGGGCGTGTGATTAGGTCCCGATTCAGGAGGGGAAGGACGTCCTAAACCCTAAACCCATCTGTCATGGGAGCTTTAAAGGCATGGTCGGGTCTGTTGGGGCCTGGATCCCGGACCTGAACCGTGTAGGTCTTCCAGAACCTCTTGACCTTAAACCCTGAATCCCACCCACTAAGCTTCTAAACTCCTTACGTACAAAACAAGACCCGTTAACGTGAGGTGGCCCTCGGTGGAGGTTCCAAGGTCGTCTTCCTGGACGATGCTTGGCTTCGCGGGGGTTAGGATTCAGGGATTAGGGATGATCGGGCTTCAGGTATAGAAATCCCAACACTAAAGTTTAATGTTTAGGATTTGAGGGCTTAGGGTTTTAACTCAGTTTGGGATCCAGGGGTGTAGGAGCTCAAGGTGTCAGGGCATGTGCGAGGGGTTCCGGTACTTCGAAGTGCAGGGCTTCGGCTTGAGAAAAGTCGGCCGGTTGGGAAGATTTGTTTGCAAGGCGTTCTTGAGTGCTCGCGGGCAGCCATCGCTCTAGGGCTTGATAATATCAACATCACTGTCATTTAAAGTACATAATAATGGCGATGATAATGTTTAAATACTTATAATCGAATTTCAGAATGAGAACGACAATGATTTATAGGGATGTTTGAGATGTCTGCATGCTTCAGAGAACGTGCTTGAACCAGCTGTTCCACCCACCATGTCAGCTCGACGTCAAGGCTGACTGAAAGTAGGACCCCATACCCTCAACCCTAGGCCCTAAACCCTAATCCCCAACCCCTAAACCCTTAACCCTGAACCCTAAACCCCTAACCCTTAAGTTCCACTCTTCAGGGAGTGCTCAAGATCTGATCTCCATTCCCAACTTTGGGTTTAGGTCCTTAGCTTCCCTTCCTCACTGAACACTAAAGGCGGCACCCGAGAGCTTGAGCTCCACTCCTAACCCTAACCCCCAACCTGGTAACCTTAAACCCTAAACCCTAAACCCCTAAACCCTTAAACCCCTAAACCCTAAACCCCTAACCTTAGACCCTGAACCCTAAAGCCAAGATTTTAGGTTCCATTCCTAACTGAAGGAACCTTCCTCCGGCGTGGATCCCTACTCCAGAAGACAGCTCTGGGACTGTCCCTGCCTGGGTTGATGGTTGTGCTTGCTTGGAGGATCAAGGACTTAGTAAGTAAGGTTATAAGTACCTTAAGGGGAGTTCTAATTCATTATAACTGTAGTTACCTTATTTATAGCCCTAATTACTAAGTCCCATGATCCTCCAAGTGGGGTTTCAAGGTAGTTTAGGTTTGGGATTCATTTTTTTGGCAGGGCTGATTCGGGGGTTGGCTTTTGCCTGCTCCTAGTTGCACGCTTACCTTCGTCAAGGTTCAGAGACTGAACCTAGGAGGCAAAAGTCAAAGTAAGGCGGGTGGCATCGTAGGGTTCTGAGGATGTCAAAGAGCTTGCAGCGCGGCTCGTTGCATAGTAGTGCCTAGGCCCTAGGCTCCTGGCATTGCAGCTAGCAAGTGGGGCGAACAAGAGGCGCTCTCTCCAAGGTTAGAAATCCGGGCCCCTAATATGGACCCTTAGGCCTGTCTAGGGTCCCTTAAGGGTATATATATATATATATATAGGGTATATAGTAGGTATATAATCGTCCCAGGATTAAGGGCCCATACTTTCGGCCCATGGGTTCAACCTTAGACTCTCCCAAAGACTCAGCACCCCGCCGCACATGCAACGTAGTCGCTCTGGCTTGGGTATGCCATCTTTACTTCTCCACCATGGTGGATAGATGTTTCTTTGAGGCCAACCCTCAAAGAGCAGGGAATTGCAGTAAACAGGCCCAATTTGTCCTGCACCCTAATTCCACGAAGGCGCCAAACCCAGGTGCCCCCTCACTTTCAAGAAATTTCCAATCCTCAAACCCTAGAAGCCCTATGCCCCAAACCCTAGACGCCCACACCCAAGAAAAAGGCGCCTCCCCTAAACCCTCAACCCCTCAACCCGAAATCCAAAGCTTTATACCCTAAACCCTAACATCCAAATCGAAAGCCCTGCGCCCTATAGGCCTGCAGCCCTAAACCCTAAACCCTAAAAGCCTCAACCCCCAAATCCGAATCCATGGAGCGCTTCTGCTGCCTCCGCATCTGGCGGGCGCGCGAGCCGCCCTTGCTGAGTGACGAGGAAGCTCCGGAGGAGGACGCGAAGAAAGGTCCTAGGGGAGGTTTCGAGTCTAGGGTGTAGGGCGAAGAAGAGTACTAAAAATAGTATAGGTTTAGGGTCTAGGGTTTAGGGTTTAGGGTTTAGTCTAGTAACATCAAAAGTACTAGAAATAGTGTAGTAACGATGACACTGAGAATAGCAATACAGACAGAAGTAGAGAAAGGACATGTCCTTTGAATGGGGGAAAATTTCCGTGGCTCAAGGGTTTAGGGTTTAGGCAAATGGTGCAGGATTTAGGGTGGCAAATGGCTTAGGGATTAGGGTCCCTAAATCCTAAACCCCACCTTAACCCAGCAGAACCTCCTTTTCGTAGGGGTCCCCACAAATTTCATCTTAGGGTACATGACAAAGGAACCTGCAAAAAGTAGGTTTGGCAGGGTATGTAGACCCTAAACCCTAAACCCTAAACCCTAAACCCGAAACCCTGAGCCCCTAAACCCGGAGCCTTTGCAGGCCTCCCCCGAGGATGCCTCCTGGCCATTGAGCCGGTCTGGGCCTCGAACGTCTGCATGTTTTAGGGTTTTTAGGGACGGCCAGCTTTGTTTTGGTGCCTGCATTGACCTTGTGGCAAGCCTGACAGTCCAGTCTGGCTTGCAGGGATCTTGCTATCTTCACATCCTGGGCTCTTGTTAAGGGGCTTAATTTAAGTTACCATAATAGGGATCTATAGTAAATAGTATGGTTTCCTTATTATGGTAACTTANNAAATCCCTTAACAAGAACCCAGCATCGTGCTAAGCTTGGACCATCAGACTTTGCCATTGCGGCCGCACCATTCTTGACACGAGGCTGCTGTTCTTCTGGGCCTTCCCTGTGCTTTGGCGATGCTTGGCATGAGGTTGAAAGTTCGATTCCGTGGTGCTCATACTAATGTGTTAGACTACAGCCCCCGCCCACATTCCATGAATCCATATACATCCTACACACACTCTCTCATTCGAAAATTGTGAAATCTTGTTGAAGCTTCCGTTGGACCCTTGTGTTAGGATTCAGGAACCCCCTCATAAACCCGAAACCCTAAACATCAGTTTCAAGACCTTTTTGATTACGAACCCCCGTCACAAAACCAAGAAGATTTTTTTTGGGATAGACTTGTATCTTTAGAGGATTATATAACTAGAACTTTAGGTCATATCTTAAGGAGATTTTATAATTACTGGGAATCATTATATTCTAGTTGTATATTCCTGTACATCTTTAGGTCATATATCTAATGGTAATTTAACCTAGAGAATACATTATATCTTAGTTGTAATATCCAGGTCATATTATGTGGTAAGATTACATTGTATTTCCTTCTATAATCCCAAGTCAAAGTGTACAAGAGGAATGGGTGGAATGGTCCTTTGTGTTGTTTCGTTTAGTTAAAATAAAAAGCGTGAGCCTGTGTAGCGAACAAGGAACGGGAAAGAGACGCACGCTT